ACACACACACACACACACACACACACACACACACACATTCTCCCTCACTCTTACTCAGTCATACATTTTTTCAGTCTTTTTTGTCTCTCAAATAATTGGAGAGTCCTTGAGAGTAAATGCTATTGCAAAGTATTTCTAATTTTGAGATAAACACTGGAGCAGAAGAATGCAAATTTCCCTTAAAGTAGCAACAAAAATATTACAACAAATTCATAGAGTCGGTTATGAGCTACTTTGAGTTACTCAGAATTTTTTCTAATTTTCACTCTGATTTCTTCTTTGATGCATAGAATTTTAGAAATGTGTTACTTAATCTCAAAACACCTGCAGGTTTCTTCTTAACTTTCTGTGGTTGGTTTCTATTTTAATTTCCTTTAATCAGAGAGTATACACTATGACATCAGTTCTTTGAAATTTTGAGGTTCCTTATGAGTAGTATATGGTATTTTTTGCCAAATGTTTCATGTACATTTGTAAAGATTGTGCATTCTATAAGCTTTCTTTGTAGTGTCCTATAAATGCCACTTAGGTCAAGTCAGCTAATTGTTGTGCTTTTCAAATCCTCTGTATTTTTTTCTTTTCTGTATGCTTTTTATATCAGTTATTGAAGGAAGTATTAAATTTCCAATTAGGTATTAGATTAAGTAGGTTATATGTTAAAATTTTTATAATTTTAAAAACATATATTTAAGATATTAAAATTTCCATCTGGAATTTGGCTGATTTTTTTTCTTGCTTATATATTTTAAAACTGTTATGTCATGTGATCTGTTGAATTGTTTTAAAAACAATATTTTTTACTTCTGTAATTTCTATTTATCTCTGGTTTACTACATTTCAAGTCTCTGGCATAATGTTCCCTTTTTAATATATTAATTAATCATATTAAAGTCTTTGCCAGAAAATTCTGGTATCTGGATCATTTGCTTATCTTTTTCTTTTAGGTCATTGAATCTTGTTTTAAAACATATCATGAATATTTTTATTAAATGCAAGATATTATGAATAAAAAATTGTAGGGCATTGAGGATTCTTTTTTAGCCAAAGAGGGTTAAGTTTTCTTCTGGATGGTTATTAGAATATTGGTAGGTCACTGTGTTCACACTGAAGGCTGGTTTTAGCCTCATTAAGGAATGTTCTATTTTAGTTTTTTGTTTGTTTGTTTGTTTGTTTTTTACTTCTGGGACATAACAATTGTCCTAGTGCATAGTCCTTACTCCTGAGGCATGACTCTTGTATGGTCAGCTTAAGATCTGGAGTGTTTCAGAAAGCCCCTTTACCTTTGTGTGGCTTGAACTCCATTCTCTCTCTCCCTAGCACTGCTTCAGGGCTGAAATCTCTGCTCAGGATTTTAACATGCCACCTGCTATCTATCTGCCTGTGGTCACTTGGGAGAACAGAAGCTTAGGCTTAGGCCTTTGCCCCTCTTTCTGGGTAGACATTGCTAGCAAAGACAGCTGATACTAAAAGATGAATGGATACCTAAGGAAAATATTTTAGACATCTGGTGAGGGCAAGCATGATGAAAGATAAAAGCAAATGGAACCTCTCATGCCAGAAGAAGCAGAACTATAATAACTACTGGAGGGGTAAGGAAAGGAACTGCTCAAGTATACAGTGTTTCAGTTCTGCCCTATTATCCCAGGCTTACGCATTTGCTTTCTTATGCCTGGCAATGGTTCGAAGAACATTTATATCCAGTCTAGGCTTTAGGGAAATGGTTCTAAGGTGTGTGTGTGTGTGTGTGTGTTTAATTCTCTATTTGTTGGAGCTAAACAAATTAAATATATTTTGGCATGAAAAATGTTGGAAGTTATATTCTTTTAGGGTTGGGTTTTTGTTTTTTCCTTTTTCCAAGTCCCAAAGATAGAAGTTTGGAAAGGCAAATGAATTGAAGAATTTAAAGAGTTATTTAAGTGAAATAACTCTGAAAATCTAAACTGAAAAAGAAATAAAGTTAAGACTGATTTTTAGACGTCATGTAACTGGAGTGTGAAATGGATCTTGGTTGAAGACCTCTGTAGCTATACATCATAAAACCAGTGTGTGTGCTCCCCACTTTATACATTAATATCTCTCTACAGCTCTCTCTCCAGGACAAACCAGAATAAAGAGCTTACTCCTACATTTGTAAAATGAAAATAATAGTAATATCTAATTTGTAGGGTATTTATGAGAATGAAATGAATTATGTTAAAGTATTTAGACCTGTGTTTAGCACATAGTAAGTATTTGGTGAATGTTAGCTTTTATTATTATAATACACATAGTAACCACAGTTACTCTGCTCTACTGTTCTCCTCTGTGGAGCATCACTATAAACCCACCCTACCAGAAAATATTTAGAAGAGCTATAGCATCTGGCAGTACTCCAATATGCCTTCTGCTTCTTAAAGAATAAATACAAAACAGTAATTAAAAAGCAGCAGATATTGGGGAGCAAGATTGAGGCTGAGTAACAGCTTCTTTGCAACTGGGAATGGTGAGATTGGGGAGAGAAGACTCCAGGCACCTCTGGCTTGTGGGCCTTGCCCAGAAACATCCCTTTGAGGATGCAGGGAGACAGCAAGAGACTTTTGGACACCAGGAGGAGAGGACAAAAGTAGTGGAGAAGTGGCAAATGGTTGCATTCATTTGATCTGAGGCTGTGGCTGCTGCTGTGGCTGTACCTACAACAACAGAGAGAGTGCAGACAAGGTTGTTTGGTTTCTTGGGGGTTGTTTTGGTTTCTTGGGAGCCTTGGGCACTGGGTTGATTACCTTAGGAGAACTTAGGTGAGCATGCAGGTGACTTTAAGCACTGTCCAAGGTCCAGGACTGAGCCACTGGGCTGGAATGAAGCTATCATTGTTCAGCTGTGGCCCACACTGAACATGGGAGAGCTGCCATGTGGCTCACCCTCAGGGTTGCAGAGTGAGGCCTGGGATGGGAAACCCTGGGTGAGCGATCTAGTGACTGTTCACAGATATAGGACTGGGATGGAGAGGAAGGCCCAGACTGAGATGGAGGGGAAGAGTGGAACTTTCAGTGTTTGGCAGTAGGAGAGCCTGCCTTTCAACCTTGGTCCTTGGGGGCATAGAGTGAGGCTGATTTGGGTGCACCTGATAAATGGGAAGCCACTTAAGGAGAGATCCCAGCAACATGTGCTTTCCTGGGAAAGCCTCTGCTTAGCCAAGGTTAATGGCTTAAGGTGTCTTTTAAGTGGGCCGAGGAGAGAGGCTTTCAAACCTGCAGGGTTTGAGGGCAAAGAAGTCAGCAGAGGTGTCCAGTCTGTATCAGCATTGTGATTAGCATCTCATACCCCAGAAGATCACTTGTTGCCGAGACAATATTCAGCAAGATATATATACTGTTGTTTTTTTTGGATTTTTTTTCTTTTTTTTTATTTCACTTTTCCCCCCTACATTTTTCATTTTTTTCTTTTTCTCATTTTTCTAATGTAAATATAATTTTCCATTGTTGCCTTCTTAAATAGTAATAACTTTGTTTGTGCTAGTGTTTCTACCACTGTTATTTGATTTTTTCTCCTAATTTTATCCTGTAAGGTTTTCTGTTTCTTTGTTTTGGTTTGGTTTATAGTATTTTTGTTTTTTGTCTGTACCTGATAAAGGTGGGGTACCATGTCTGCTCAGGCTGCCAAAGAGATGCTGACCTCAAGGAAACCACCCAACCCACCACCCCCAGAGGTTGGGGTTTTTGGATATGGGTCAAAGTACGCTACTGCACACCTTAATTACTCCTATCTCCCTCTTTCTGTGCCATTCTTCTGTTTTTGTCAATTCCCTTTTACTCACCCTCTCTTCTATCTCTTTTTTCTTTTTTAAAATCTTTTTTCCATTCTTGTTCTTTAGTCTTCTCATCCTTCTAGCTTGTACCTAAAGGATTCATCAAAACCTTAGGTCAGAGGCATGGTAACTTAAAGAGCAAGGGGAAATGAAAGGAAAATTAGGGCAAGGAAACAAATTTAAAAAAAAAACCTCATGATGAAGAAACAGCAGAAAAATCCTGGCAATATGAAAAAGCAGTCCAGAGCAATACCCCAAAGTACCATGAGTTAGTTACTGCAGAAGATTCCACCTATAAAGAAATGTTAAAAATGATAGAGGGGAATTTAAAATACAGACGATGAAAACAAATGAAGACAGTTGCTGAGTAAGTGGAAAATAACCAAAAGGAAATCCAAAAACAAAATCAAATAACGGATGAGTGATATGAAGAATATAGAAAGGATACAGCAGAGCTGAAGGAATTGAAGCAGTCAGTGTGGAACTTAAAGATGCAATAGAAAGTATCAATAATAGATTAGACCATGCATAAGAAAGAATCGCAGAGGTAGAGGACAAAGCTTTTAAGATACCTCAGATA